TCACCGCCACACGCAATGGAGGCCATACAATTCAATCGAACATCGGTGTTTCTCAAATGGCAGCCACCCTATCCGAATAAGACACGGAATGGTGCGTATAAAAATCGCTTAAAGCCACACACATTCATATACAGAAATGAAATGAAAATCTGCTTCTGGCTAGCTTACTTTCCTATTAGTCCCCATTTGAGATTTATGCAACTCAAAATTGTAGTAGTAGTAGTACTGCTCCTACGAAGTGCAACTTGGCAAGGTTTGCCAGTATTCGGCAAATTTTCATTTCACATTTCGAGAAGAAATGTGTCTGCTGTTTAATTTTTTTTCACAACACACGCTTGTCTTACTCGTTACAACATTTATTGAATTCTTTCTCTCTTCTTTTCATTCTTCTATTCTTTTTTCCCTCTTCTTGTTTGCTTTCGATTTCATTGCAGGCGTTTTAACCAACTACAATGTGCTGGTAAAGGGTCTGGACTCACATAATACAACACGCATTTTCAAAAATATGACAATCGATGCCGGCTCACCAACATTGTTGTTGGCCAACCTCAGCACTGGTGTTACATATTACATTTCCGTTGCGGCTGCTACAAAGGTGGGCGTGGGCCCATTCAGCAAGCCAGCCGTATTGCGTATGGATCCACGCACACAATCGTTGGATACGGGATATACAAGGTTTGTTATGCGACTAGCAGATTTAAATCTAACACAAATTATTCTCTGTACATATATGTATGCATGTTAATATATATCTAAATTTGTATATTCAGACATTCACTAGGATGCCCCACCGAAACCACATATTTCTATAATCCAAAAAAAATCTAGGCCTCCCCAAAATATTTCGCTACAATTCGGGTTATTAATAAACTGAATAACTCAAAAAATTCGTCGTTAGTCTATTTTTACTTGAATGCCTATTTGTCTTGCAACTTTCTTTTCCTCCTCTGAGTAGTTTTTTATCTCCTAATCTGCTGAATAAATTTATCGAATACAGTACTGCAACTTGTACTTAATTACTTGGCTTATAGGATTGGATAGAGACGCCTGGGGGTTGGTTTCCCCAAAAACGAAGTTATTCATAAACTGAAGCCCCATTGTACTAAGGTTTTCGCTTCTCCTTGCTGAATCATTTTGAATCCTCGACGAAAGTCGTCAGGCACCAAAGGTTTATGTTAGGGTCACTAAAGAATTGAGACCCCAGAAAGCACAATCAACGCATCGATAATACCGGACAGCTACAGGGAACATGTAGAACTGTCTCTTCCTCCGCATATATGTAAGCTTCGAATCCTTTTTCGATCCCATCTAAGGCAAGTTTTCCTAGAAATTCTAAAGGAAGTGGTTTGACTCCACCCCTCGTTCGCGCGAGTTTAGATGAAATCTCCTAAAGGCAGCTTGCAAGTAGCGAAGCGCATATTAACGAGTTCTATGGCCGGCAGAGTCTGCTTGGTTGTAAACCCCTTACCCTCTATGCATGTATATCAGACATGTGGATTTTTAGATAGTCGGTCAGTGGTGAAAGATAATTTTCTCTGGACGGAAACATTTTGCTGGAAAAGGAACGTTGAAGAAGGAAGAAGAAAATTGCGCAATGCGTTTATTTGGCAAAAACTAGGAATTACTTACACAGATAATTCATCGAATTTGTGGAGCATCTCTCTACCAAGGGCTAAACTTGCTAAAATTCACTTCTCTGAAAAAGCGACTATCACACCATTCAAAGTACAAAAATGTCACCACTTCATTAACCTATCCTGGGGCTCCGCACCTACAGATGGTTTGAAAAATAAGGAGTAAAGACCATACAGTCTCTGAAAGCCCTGCTTTTAAAAGTTAAACGGAAGATTAGTGCCGCTACAAGGGTAGATCTACTAACAGAGATCAGAAATAACCAAAATATATTTCGCTTTTGAAGTATTTTACAGATTTTACATGGAAAGCGCACTATAAAAGATCTTTATTTGTGTTGCATATTGATTTGCCAGCGCCTAAAACTTTTTAAAGCTTTTTACTTATACATTTTTTATAGACGCACAAAGGGTAAAAGCACTCTCCGCCCATATTTGTCTAAACTAGCGATGGGCAGAGAGAGCTTTTATTCTGCACGGGCCTATACAAAATGTAAAGAAAGCTTGAAGAAGCAAGGCAGTGTCCATCGCCGATATAAACCAGTCACAACGAAAAAAATAAAAATTTAAAGATTTTAAATGTAGCTTTTTATAGCTTTTCAGTAAAGCTCTCTTTGATCGCATCTGGTCTAGAAACGTACAGGATATTGTGTTCACTATGGGCATCGCTCAATGAGGTATACGACGCTTTTTGCAGCGAATGCCCGCAGGAATGCTGACGGTTCACTGAATTATAAAAATTTTTCAAATTCCTGTGGTCTCTAATAACGTTTTCAGCATCCATAAGACTCCATCCCGTCTAATGGAAGTCAAAGGCCTACATTTTAGATACATATATATTTTTTTTGTACCAGATTCTGCAAGAACAGAATATTCACGTCCAAAATGTTTAATCAATATGACCTCTGGTGGCCGGTTATAGATTACGTAGAGGTTAAGTACTTCTTTTTTTCCCTCGGCTGATATTTGTCTGGAAATGGGTCTTCGGGTAAGGAGTTTTACAAGCAGCGGCACCGATCTCTACTCAGAGGAAGCTACCCATTTCTTCCTATAGAGGACTGAAGCATCTTCCGAGCTGAGATGTATGCTTTTATGAAAGCAGAAGGAACTGAGATCTAGGCTATAGAGAAGGAAACTAGTCTTCTAGTAAATACCTGTGTTCCATCCTGAAAGGCCACTACATTCATCGATATTTAAGGAAACTTTGAGATCAGTAGTAGTAGCTGATGAAGTGTCTACATATGTCTCTGAAATCATATGAAGGTAATCGAGGAATCAAATGTAGCTTTTGCAAGAACCTTAAGGACCAAACGGGATGATCGCGAGATTTCTACGTCACTACGACAGCAAAAAAATGGTCAACGCTATACAAGAATTGCCTCGATGAGAACTAAGAGGCATCAGTTGACCACCTTCTTTGTCCATACGCGGACAGTCGAAGCGACTCATACAGCAGGGGCCACGTTCCTTCCCTTGTCTAGAAAACACAAAGAAGGTGGAACGCATCTTAATTTTATTTTGATCGCATCGCTTTTATTTTGAAAAATATGTATTTCAATCGGTTAATGATCTGCATTTTCTCTTTCTAATGACTGCTTATACTTTGCCGAATGAAAATATAACAAAATCCTCACCCATCCTGCTAACCTTACTATAAGAATTTGTACCTCTAAAGAATGATCCCGAATTGAGCTAAATTAGTGATATGCATGAAGAAATTTAACCACTCTCGTTTATGGAGGGCGACAAACTCTAATATGCACAGCCCGCAGTAGCCTAAACAAGCGCCATTGGCGTCAGACTATTCATAATCAACATTTTTTTACTACCTTCCTACATTATGTCGTCGTTGTTTTTGTAACTCCAATAATGCTCGAATATTTGCTGTTACTTGTTGTTTAAATGGCCACCAACTGGCCAGGCAGCCGGTCAGCCAGCCAGCAAAACTCAGATCGCGCAGTGTGGTGACGTTTATCGTTCAACGACGGTGCAATCAACGAATCGGCAAAAGCAAAAGCAACATCGGTAGTGACATGACCAAAGGCAACGAAACCTCATCAGCATATTCAACGACTACAAACAAAAGCAACCGGACTACAGCATCAACACCAACAACAAAGTTCACATATGCACAACATCCATAAATCGGCAGCAATTTTCTCTAGTTTCCCGTGCAAATTTGTGTCTGATTAAAGTGAAAAACGTAGCTGGTCTCATCCAAGGGTGATGTGCGTAGCTTCAATTCCTACTGCTATCACACTGCTGCTCTTGCTTTTATTTTCACTGCTGTGTTTGTTGTCTGTGCCAATACATTGCCGCCTACTTTCATTCAATCATTCATCCATTTCACATCAGTACATCAATTTCCATTTTCTCATTTTCCCCACACATAATTTCGTTTTGCTCTACTCTTTCATTTGCTCCTTCTTCTCTTTCACAGATATCCCATCAATCGCGACATTGCCGACGATTTTCTAACACAGACTTGGTTCATCATTTTACTGGGTTCCATTATAGCGTTAATTGTGTTTCTATTCGGCGCTTTGGTCCTCTTCAAACGCTACCAATTCATTAAGCAAACATCGTTGGGCAGTTTACATGGTAAGTAGCACCTGAATGAACTTACATACATACTCATCTGCATACACCTTCACGTCTATCTGATACTGCTTAAATACTACAGGCTCTAGAATAAGTATGTATTTATGTGTGTTTGGTCTTCTCGAGTCATTTTATTGGCAACAGGTATTAAAGCGAAACACGTAAAAAGTAGTAAGATAAGCATTTGAAATTTAATTTTCGTTCTCTATATGTCACATAATATCAAATCGACAGTACTGTGTGAAAATCCGGAATCCTTCCTGAATCCACTAGTATTAGTTCTTCAAACCTAACATAAGGCCCATTGGCAAGATTTTTTTCGCGAATATCTGTGTGAACAAATTGGCATATACCCCATTTTCGTCGAGTTTCCACAAAGAGAAGAAGAATCTACTGAGTCATGTCTAAGTTTGGGATCCTTGCAAAGCTCATACGATTAAGCTGATATAGGAGACATAGTGGTAAGACAAAAAGCAAAGAATATGGTGCCAGGGGTTACTGCCATCTCGCCTGTTCTGTATAGTAGTCGACAAACTTACACGCATTCAGAGCGACAAGGAAAAGATGGTGGTAGGTTAGGGAAAGGAAGGTTACGCTAGATGACTTTTAGTTTAAGAAGCCTAATGGACCCATAATAAAACCAAGTTGTTCTATCCTTTCCTGTTACTAACTAACTAAGTAGCTTCTCCAGTAAATCTTCTAATGAAGTTTTCCAAATCTGTCTAGTTCGCTCGAAGAAGTGGGAGTTAGTATTTCGGTAAGTAGCCGAAGTTCAGTTTTGATTGTTTTGCCTCGCGGCAGAATTGCGACTTTATATCACTTCCCATTATGAAGGACCCAAATAGGTCAGGTAGCGAGATCTTGTGGGATTGCTCTGCACAATGTGATAAACAGCATTTCGCCGTAGATCGAGAATGTAGTGGAGCGACGATTAAGTCAACGAAAAAACATACATTTGAAGTACCAGCACATAGTGACGAATAAAGTTATGCATGGAGAATCGGGAGGGGTGGAGGGAACAATAGCTTTGACACCTATAGCTTCTTATAATAAAACCGGTCCGTGTTCACCACGAAAGCTCCTCAAAATGGCTTATTTCCATTCCCAAAATCTCATCGGGAGGATGGAAAAGTGGGACCCAAGGTGCTTGAACCTTTGATGGAAAATTCGTGGCACCAGAGCAGCAGGAATTGAGATGATTGTACCTTATCGTCCTCCATGCCGCTCGTACGAAAGGGGTCATCGTTACACAAAGGCCAGTTACAACTCCCACCACTAGCGAGAGGTGTAACTTTCATAGTCCCCAGAGCTCCCTGGACCCCCGGCGGTCTACACTTGACCAGAAGGATTTTGTCACCTTGCATTCCAAGCTCTTCGCCTAGCGCCCGCTGAGCTGGCCCAACGCCCATCCGACCAGGAACAGACCAGATGAGGTCAGGACACCATCCAGACTAACTCTTCCCGGGAACAGTTCCTCAAGAGTTTCCTGTCTTGCCAGCTCATTGGCCATGCTGTTTCTAGCCATTTTACTGTGACCCGGAAATTAACTTAATAGAGTAGTTAGTTCACGAACAAACCATAAGAGATCCGAGAGACTGTTTGGCTATCGGAATAGATATTCACCTCAAATAAAGGCATTACACTAGGGAGCAACTAATCCAAAACCTACTTTATTGCGGCTGCATCTACCTATGGAACGCAACAATAATCCGTTCAATAATCAATTTCAAGTTGATGAAGAGTTTTTGCACCTACCGGCTCCGACGCCTAGCCTATTTAGGGAGTTTACAAAAGCCTCAGGCAAGACGTTATTAAAAGCCCCTCGATATGAAGGATGGCACCAAACACGTATTCCTTCTGCAAAAAGGACTGTTCGGAACTATCAACGATCGTATGTAGGGCCATTTCAATGGATCTGACCTTGCAGTAGGCATGCTAAATTGAAGACAGATGCTCCCTAAAAGTCCTGTTTTTAGGTTTAGATCAATCTGCCTCTACAGCGTATTCAATGGAAACAAGGAAGGGCTCATTGGCCTGAAGTCCCCGGATGCGAGACCCTACTCGCCTTAAGATTAAAGGTAACAAGGTAGCTTGCAAAGATAGGCACCCAAACAACACACATAGCTAAAACCATCCAATAAAGAAGACCGCTTAGAAATAAATCTATTGTATGGCCTTCATTAAATGGGCTACATGTTTGTTCATCGGTCCAAACTGTTTTATCAATACGACCAGAAAAATCAAATTTCCTTGAAACTTCCGTAGCAAATCCGCCACAAAAGGCAAACATTTCATGAAAAGAAAGAAATGGTCGCAGCATGTGAACCTTTGTGCACAAGTGCTTGATGCAGGTATAATAGAAACAAAAGTAATAAATATTTCACGCCAAGCACCTACACAAAAGCCTAACAACCGCTAAGCGTAACTAATCGGCTTTCGGTATATAAGTGCACATATATGTACATTAGGTTGGCCCAAAAAAAGTAAAGTCGAAATTTTAATGCTCTCACCCCCTAAGATTGTTCTATACCGAAAACATTATACCGCTGTGTTTTTATTTTGAAACCAAAAAATATTTAGTGGTCGCTCAAAACAAAAAAAAACTTTTCGTAGAAAATCAATACTTTTCGATCGGAAAACTCTGTTTCTCTTAAGAATACCCGATTGTTTATTTAACAATTTTTTTCATAGTAACTAAATTTTATAGGTCCACCAAAAAACCCCAGAAAATGCAATGGGGTGCCCAATAAAAAACCTTTAGCATTAAAAAATGGTTAAATAAATCATTGGGTATTATTATTGGAAGTCTTATGAAGAGAACCAAAGTTTTCCAAATGAAAAATATTGATTTTCAATAATTCTATAAAATTTCTACCAAAAGTTCTTTTCTGCCCATAAAAACTACATAGCAAACTTTGAGCGCTTTGAGTGACCTCTAAATATTTTTTGATTTCAAAATAAAAAAACAGGATATAATTTTTTTAGGTATAGAACATTCCAAGGAGGTAAGAGCATTGAAATTCCGACGTTACTTTTTTGCATGCATTTTTGGACCAACCTAATGAGCATACAACATACATTGAAAGTTTGAAGAAATTTCACAAAACAAAAGGAAACAAATCGTGCCTAATAATAAATTCGCATAATGCAAAAATAAAAAAACCCACTCAAACAAAGCCGGCGACAGTAAGAATAACAAGAAAACATTCGCTCAATCGGGGCGGAATGAGAAATTATTGGAAGACACGTAAAAAATGCATTAATTATGCGCGAAGCACAAAAGAAGAAAACAAAAAGAAAAAAACACTGAAAGCAAATAAAATTATAATAAACCAAACAAATGAGCTTAGCAAATTAGGCGAGTTGATTAAGAGGTGCACATTAGGATCGAAAAAGATACGCTGCCAGCGCTCGAAGTACACACAGCAAAGGCAGGTAGAACAGAAATGATAATAAATTCTCGAATTCTTGCAGAAGAAAAAAGTTTCAATGATAGATTTGCTCAAATAAAAAATGGACTGGAATACCAAAAAGGCTTAAAGCACGCAAAAAATAGATAATTTTGAATATCCGCTGCCACAGCGGTGGCTATCTAAATGAGCTTGTGAGAAAGCATTTGATGCAAATATATGCATGCAGGTCGTATTTATGTAGATAGCATGCTAGAGCCTAAAAATCCCTTTCCCATTTTCTTTTTGTTTTTTTTTGCTTTTCTAATGCTCGTTTATTTATATCTATTTTCTTGCTTCTTCTCCTCCTCCATCTTATTACAGGCAATCACGCAATTGGTGCCGTGCGAAAATTCCCTACGCTACCTTTGAATGCGAATGGCGTCTGGATCGATCCGACCGGTGGTGTATGGCGTCAAGCCAGTAGCTGTACGACAAAGGACCAACTTCCGGATTACGCACAAGTCACGGGCCAGCAAACGTTGCCATTACCCGATTATGAACGGTAAGTTATTGCTGCCTTTTATTTTGGTAATATCAATGCAAAGAAAAACGCACACGAAGGCACAAGCTTGCAAGCACAAATACACTTCGACGCCATTATAAGCGCGAACTGTGTAAGCAAAGTTTAGCAATCGCTGCATGGCGAAACGTCAAAGTTGCCCCTACCCAGCTCAAAAGTAACCAGCAAATTAGTTATCTGTTGTTTAGGCAACAATGAAAGAAAAAGTGTAGGCTACACGCTTAGGCGCCCCCTAGCGCAAGCCGATACCACGAAATGTGCGTGTTGCTAATTATCTAATAAGGAAATACTTAACTGATTGTAGTTGGCCGACCGACCCACGACTACTTGCGTTCTCATTCACCCACAAACATTCTCCCACTCTCTGCAACTCTTCAGACTTTTGCCGTTTAATTGCTGCTTTCCAATTTGCATTTGTGGCTTACCAGAGTTCGTAGCGTTCCCCTAGCTGGTTGTTGGGCTACGGTTTTTATACTTCGCAACTTGTTTTTCCTTAACTTCTTTTGTATTATTTTTTTTTTATTCTTTCTTTTCATTAACTATCGCTTGCCGGAACTTTGAAAGTTAGTTCTCGCTGATAAGCATTTGAAAAGTTTCCAATGCAAGCGATAAAATTAAATGTTACTGCGTTTTGGTTAAAGTTATCGTTTTTATGGTTTTGTTTTCTGTATTTCTTAACTATTTAAATGCTAATGTTGCACAACTAAGAAATGTGCACTTTAAGTACTTGAAAAAGATTTTAGTGGTCCGCAAAAGTTAAAAAATGAAAAAGCTGCCACGTACTCATGAAATTTGATAAGCAAACAAATGTGTACGAATTGGTAAAGCATCAGGCGGCTTAGTTACTTACATAAATAGGCTACGAAATTATGCCGAACTGGTTCCGAAATGTATCTGAAATATTCTTGTACTTGTCTGGAGATGGTCCAGCACTAGTCCCAAAATGTTACTCCCATAGTCCAAAACTAGGCCGGAAATGGTCCCGAATAGGTCCCAAAATGATCCCAAAAATCCTGAACCGATCTCGAAACGATGTGCATACAATTAAACCGGGTTGATCTCCATGATAAAGTAACAAGTTTGTTATAATCCCCCCTAGTTCCAAAGTTTACTGGATACTCCATACCGTTCTTAACCAGTGGTGGGCACAGGAGAGCTCGAAGTTCGCAGCTGGGTCCAAAATGGACATTGGAACAAGGTATGGTGTCTTTCTTAACAGCCGACTTTGAGAGAGGCCTATAGACTCCCAGACTACTGCAGCTACTGGCAGGCTGAGATGCCTTACATCTCCATTAAAACTCACTTTTGTTATAGATAGTTCAACTGCTATCAGGGTCCACTTGAGGTGTAGACAAGTGCAGGAGCATGGGATCTAAGATAGATTAACAGGGAAGTTCTGGCTAAGATTGTAAAAAGTCTTTCGTACGATAAATGAAAGATAGATGGCAAGGCAGTTTGATAGTTATTTTAGCACAAAAGTCTTAAAAAACAAGCTCAAACAAACAACAACAAGCTCAAACAAGCTCATGGGCAAAATCGGACAATAACCACGCCTACCTCTCATATAACGGTAGATTTCAGAAATACGAAAACTGCGATATTTTAGTAACTACTTAAGCCTATTCACTCAAAATTGATATTTGCAATGATTTTTAGACGATAAATAAGATTATGATAAAATTTTGGAAAATGGACGTGGCACCGCCTACTTATGATCACATATATGTACCAAACTCGGTATGATTATTGTCTTGCCACATAAAAGCAAAACGCTGAAAATTATTGAAAGCTGACTAAAATTACGCCCACTTTTTATATAACGGTAAATTTCAGAATTACACCAAATTGATACTAACCCCAATCCCTTGAAAAGAAGTAGCATTAATAATGGAATTTTGGAAAATGGGCGTGATACCGATATTAGTTTATCGAAGATGTTTGAAATAGGGATAAAACCATCCCTGCTTACAACGTAGCGGTAGTTTTCGGAAAAGTGAAATAACTATATTTGATACTTGCGCCGGGTATTTAATGTTCGGTTCCGGCCGAACTTAGACTTTTTACCTTATTTTTAATTAAATTTAAGTTTTAAAAATTTATTTTATGTATTTTTTTCTTTTTAGTTTAATTTTCTTTAATTGTTTCGTTGTTATTGTTTTTAAAGGGATATTTTTTAATCTTATTTGAGTTTAATTAACTTATTTTATTTCTTTGATTTATTAATATTTTTTTCAGTTAAGTTAAATTTTTTTGCAAAAAATAAAAATATTTTGTTTTTAATTTCATTTACGTTTTGGAAATTTATTTCATTTATTTTTTCTTTTTTTTTATTAATTAAGTCTGTTATTCCTTTGTTAATTTAATTTTTTTTTTTAATTTTCTGACTATTCTTTTAAAAAGAAATAAATAATATAAAAAAAAACTTTTTAATATACAACGCTTTTATAAATGGACTAAAAAGTAGAAAATAATATTTCTCAGTCCCATAGAATTTGTTTTGATAACTTTTGATTTTGAAATCTTAGCAAAAGTCGTTATAACCAACTTATGAGATTGAAAATGAAAAGCGTGGGGCGCATATAATAGCCACCTGAATTGATATGAAGGGTAATATATGTTCATATGTATGTGGATATATGAATAACGACCGCTTAAAATCGATCTCAAATTTGTACTTTCGCTAAAGAAATTTTAGGTCTATGTTATGTAGTTTGCCTATTGTCAATTAAATATAATGCTTTGTATTGCATGCGTCTCACGCTTTTCATTTTCAATCTCATAAATTGGTTATAACGACTTTTGCTAAAATTTCAAAATCAAAAGTTATCAAAACAAATTCTATGGGACTGAGAAATATTATTTTCTACTTTTTAGTCCATTTATAAAAGCGTTGTATATTAAAAAGTTTTTTTTTATATTATTTATTTTCTACTTTTTAGTCCTGTCTGAATAAAATTTTGAAATAGATATTAAAGTAATTCAACGATATTAATAGAAAGGTGCACACACATGCATTTACATATGTATGTACATACAAACGAGCACCAATTAATTTTATTTAAAGAAATGGCGTGTCGTCTATTTCCGCTGTAGCAAACGTAGTACATAGGGCGAGATCTAGATGTCATCTACCTCGCCCTATTCACTACAGATGTCGCCCTATGCACTATGCTTTTTTATAGGAACTTTTCAAAGCAAAGGTTTTATGGTGTCGGACACACAACATTGAAAGTTTCTGGACACACAACATTGCAAGTTGATAAAAGCGTTGTAAAATATACTTACTTTTTTTATTTAATTTGATTTTTATGATCCTATAATTTTTTTGAATTTTTTTATTTTTTTTTTGTAAGAACTCAGCATTAGCAGATGTTTCAATTAGTCTTTCGAAAGACAATAAAGAGCTTTCAAGATAGTTGCACGAATTGACAATTTCCATACGAAAGATTTTTTTCTTTCAAAAGATCGTGGTGAATTGAAAGACAGTTGTCAGAATTGTCCTGTTAGAGGTAGTGGGTCAAAGCGTATGGCCCTCCTTACGATTCCACGCCAATTCCGAAGGCCTGCATATCGACGTCCGTGAAAGCCGAAATAATTGAGGAAGAGACATAAAATCTTTACGCACTTGGTCCGTACTCCAAAGTCTTTGTCTCAAATTTCTAGAAAACCACTTCTTCGATAACTTAAGTAGCTTTATCGAAATGCCATTAGAGTTTGGCAGAGAATCAAGATTATTTGATGACATACAAGGGCAGCTCTAGAGAATAACTTGCATTACAAATTTAGCTTTACAGATGTCATGTCTACCGCGACTGTCATGTCTACCGCGACTGTTTCTTTTTCTTTTCCATTGCTTTGGAAAATAGTCTTCGTGTTGGCCTTCGAGTAACAGGTCTATTGGAAGATTTGATGCCTATTGAAGAAGTACTGCCGAAAAGTGTTTAATTAAAAGCGCTTCTTATTATGGCGGCTGGGCAGAGTTGCAGGTCTAAATTAACCGAAATACTATCACGACAAAAGACCGACTATATGGTATCTAACCATAGCTTCAATAACATAAAAGTGAGATTCATCTACACCGACGGTTCAAAGATGGAATGCAGTATGGGGACAGGCGTCTCATTATCCATCCGTCTACGGAATAGTCCAAGCATCCAAGCGAAAGTTTTAAGCTTTTTAGGTTCTAGGAGAAGGTAAGCCCTGTTAGCATTAGCATCACCGGTTACTGAACCTCAGATTTTCCAGAAGAGCAAAACAGAATTTTGCTCAATATCTGCGCCAGTAACTGCCTCTATTATCTGGGTTACTGGCCATAGAATTATTGACGCCAATGAGATGGTGAATGGATTGGCGAAGGCCGGGGCATACTTGAAGGAATCCGAGGCTCGATATACAGACTTTCAAAACAAACTCTGGCCTGAGTCGACCTGCTTAATAGGCCAAGGATATATAGGCAAACATATAGCGATAATGGAGTTCCCATGTAATAGAGCTTGCCGCAGCTGATAACTAAAAGGCAACTGATACAATGGATCACATCTTAATTTTTAGATAACGCAGTTGTCTGGTACTCAGTTCCTTTCCTGACACATCAGACTGGTAGATCTGAAAGGACACCTTCCAAAGTTTACCTAGGGAATTCGCATTTTGTATCTATTCCTAGTTGGCACTAAAGTCCCTTGGATTGCTCGAGCCTTGAAACACCCCCGTTGTGGATTGTTAAGCGTAACCAGCTAATCATTTCGTAGCTACCCTGCAGTAGAGGGGAGCGATTACAAGACTGATAAATCGGTAGCTACCAAGTAAACTTCGTCGATTGCCGATCGACTACTTCCCTTGTATTTCAGCGATTATTTTTACATGAAAATGTCCTAGGCGACAGTAACTATCGGCTTTCTCAGTACTACCAGGTGTTACTAAGGTAGTTACTTGCGTGATTTATGGACGCCCCCTTTCGTAGTGTTTCGCAATTCTATTTTCGA